CACACACACACACACAGGCCAATCACAGCCAACAGCTGTGCCTTCCAGTGAGATATGACCTGCTACAGTGACACAGCATTAAACACAACCCCAGGAAAAGCATCGACACAAATAAACACAAAGAAAGTGGAAGACACATATTAACCCACTTACAGTTGGTAACACACATTTCTCTATACTGAGGTCCATTTTAATGATGAAACAGTTCTATTAAGGCCACACAGCTTGTCAAAGCAGTTAATCTAACATCCAGAATGTACTAATGCTACCGAAACACTTCAACTCTCGTACCAGAACACTTTGTCACTCATTATATAATTACCCAAAAAACACTAACAACTGGAAGCATTACAACATGAATCATTATTGTCCTTAGAGTACATTTTATTTATTTAAAGAAACTCAAAATGCTGCAATATGCTTCAATAGGCTTTCTGCCATTTTTGCATAAAGTAATTCCATCCATATTCATCGTACATATTTCTACAGGATAGTTAAGGAGATAGTCAACTAGGCAAACCTGTCTTCTGCATTTGGCCACAAGTTCTCAAGCACACATATTAATAACCACATAATACTAAAATACATACAGATAAGCTACATGAGCACTATAGGTGACACACACAGATCTGCACTTGCTACATGCAAAGCAAGCATGATACAAACACACATATACTGTACACACGTATGCCCAGAAACAGACAAGCAAAAACACATACAGAAAGACAGACAAATAAACAAACACACAGCCACACAAACAACAGCAGAGTGACTAATACTGGCTGACAGGTAGAAAGCAAAATGTGTATGTGCAGGCAAAGGACAGAAGGTAATTTTAGATATGGAAATTTCAGCAGTCAGATGAATGTGTTCTTGTTTTCTTGTGTTCCTGTGTTCTTGTGTTTATGTATCAGTGTTGTAACATTATAGATAAACACTGACAAGCGGGGTGAAACAAGAAATAACAAATACACTTCAAGTACACAACATTCTCCAGGCTCGCTGTTTCCACTGACCTTTCCCCCTAAGCCAAACTCTACATACCTGTCACTGGGGGCTTGAGATGATGTGAAGAAGTGCTTGTTTCACTGGACTAGTTTTCATGGACTTGGCCTACAAAAGTTTTTTCCCCTGAACTTATCCCAATGGACAGTTTTTTGGACCCTTCTTTTGGACTTACTTTGGAAGGCTTGCTTGTTGTGCGTCTTTGAATCATGTATAGGAACTACAAGTTTTCTATTGTAATTTGCCTTTTCCCACCCACGGCATCTAATGCACATCTGGTTGAGTATAAATGTGGCTGCAGTATAATATCATTTTACAGTAAATGTCAATGCAATGCTAGTTAATACAATGCTACTGTGGACGGACAAACACAGAATCCCTGCAGGGTAACAGAGTCAATTTGATCACTCTCTCACTGAGTTGATCAATACGGGTGCTTGTCAGGTGCTATTATCCAATATTTAGAGATAACAGAATAATATACACAAACCCCATCAACCAAAAACCCTTACCACAAACAAAGAATTACACACACACACACACACACACACAGAGTACCTACTTTTTCCAGGTGGGGTAGCCATGTAGTGACAAGGTGAAGGTTTTTCAGGCAAAGCCAGTCTCCATTTCGGGAACATTCTCTGAGTGCAGCTAAGGCCACATCAGCCTGTCCCTGACCCATGGAGATCTAGACAGACAGTGAGGATGAATGAGGTAGAGGGGGGCGAGAAACAGAAGCAGTGGGATGGAAAATTTGATTCTACATTGTAATTTCTCAGAAGTTAGAGGCAGATAATCTGATTCAATATTTTAATTCATCTCTCTCCTCAGTGGGAGAAAGTCGAAATACTTGCAAAATGAGATTCCCAATGTGATTTTTATCAATAGAGTTCCTACGTAGAGGCCAGTAACTCATAACTGATCTGATTTGTATTTATATGTAACTGATATGATTTACAGGAATGGTATATGCAGCACACATATGAGTGGAAAACAGCGTGTGGATTCACGTTTTTTTGTGCTTTTTTGTGGATTCACTTTATCTTCTATATTTATTTAAAGTTGGTTGTGTAAATGGTAAAAACATGTATTTTCTATGAACTGTTTTAAATATTCTTGGATAAAACACATATTAGCTATATTGTCAAATGCATTTGAACTGAAAAATGTGAGTTAATTGTGGGTAGGTTTGAATACTTAAAAAAAGATATAAAGACAAAGACCAAAATACCATCTTTTGAAGGTCATCTATAAAATGTTTTACTTTGGTGATAATTTTTTGACGAAAGGTCTTGTAACAGTCATTTTAAATTGAAGGATAAGCCAAAAGTCCCTTGTAAATACAACTCAAACTGTAATGAAGGAACGTGTCACCAAAAGCAATGGATGGCTCTTTTATTTGTAGCTTTTTGAAAAGGGTTATGGCCTCGGGACGGAGGCTACCGCAAATCAGTTTTCTCAGACTTCTTGCTGTCTTCAAAATGATTATAATTGATGAACTCCACTGGCAGAACAATATCAAGAGCTTTGCCTCAAAACCATGTTTCAAAACAACATTCAACAAGCTGTAGCACTCTTATTTTCCCCATTTAAGAGCACAATAGAGTATTCTGTCAATCTAATCTTGGTATTCTGTTGGAAAAATATCCACTTGCACTTGCTCATCTGCTACGACTTCTCCCATTTAATCCTGTTATTCTCTACCTCATGATAGTTGTCCCTGCCCACGGTTTCAGCTGCTAGTTCTGCCAGCTCCTGGGATGGGTCTGCCCCTGGAGAGATGATGATCAACACCGGCTCCCATTCCAATGTCTCAGTGTACAGACGACGCAGGTTCAGAGGAGGAGGGGAGAGTTCTCTCATACCTGCAGAGAAGAGGAGAAGGAGATAGGAAGATAATGATGGGTGTGAAAGACAGATCTGTAAAGTGTGTTGCAACATTTTATTTAAAGTTGATATGCTACTGAAAGTCAAGGTGACTGGATATACTGCACAGAGAGGTTACACTGGGAAGAGAGAGAGAGAAATACAAGCTATTAAGTACCATCAAAGGGGCATTTGGTAAGGGTATATTGGAAAGGAGAAACAGGTGGGGTAGACAAATAAAACGGGAAAAGATGAGGTAACACTTTATTGCTGGCTCATAATCTGCTCACATATAGTTTATAGAATATTTGTAACAATTCAACTGTTAAGTTTTGTCTATAGATGTTTAAATGATTATCTATAAAGTATATATGACAATTAATGAACATACCTTAACAAAGATGTTCTTTGTGCCTAAACCTAACCAAACCTTAATGACAGTGGAGTAATATCATAAAATGGCTGTTGAATCTCAACTTATAAACTGTTGAAATCTTACAAATAGTCTTTAAGGTATCAATGATGACAGGGAGACAGAGGGAGGGCATGGACAGAGTTAAAGTGGCCGTCACGTTGCCTAGTTACTGCTTGGGTTGATGGTGATTTGGTGTGTGTGGGCAGGCACATGCAAACGGTCAACACCTCTACACCTCTGCAAAT